CGCTGCGGACGCGGACGGGCGCTTACTGAAGCACGGCGCGCAAAAGCAACCTGCCAGACTTGGGGTTTGAGCTGAGGTTACTCTTCGTAACGGCGATCACCAGATAAGGTGCCCTGAATGTACATGCCTCCGCTGTTGGCACGGGTGTCTATAAAGTCTAACCAGCCACAGCGCGGACGCGGAGTACATCTATGGTCTATTTAAAAGCCTATTAAGAAAGATAATCTTGAACACTTTCTGGTGGTAATGGCATATTACAGAGGTTACTAGTGTGCGTGTCCTTTGCGTTACTCCGGCTATGGCTGGGGTAGGTTTGCTGGGAGCTCTGCCTGGGACGCAGGGAGGGTTGCGCTGCCCAGGCGAGCCTGGTGGGTAGTCAGGGTGTGCCTGAGTGACGATCAGCTATTAAATGCCTACCTGAGGGTGGCCTTTGCAGGAGACCTCTATTCTTAATGGCAACGTCTGTGGGACTTGTACAGGAATTAACCAAGCGTAAGTTAAAGGGCTTTATTCAATACTTGTGAAGGGGCATTGCTGATAGAGAAGCACAAATCCAGGGGTTGTAAAGTAGTACAATAGCCAAGATGCATTTTATCTCAGTTCAAAATCTGTATTGCCTAGATAGTTTCAAAATTTATATTACATCTATACAACTATATAGACAGAGCTGATCGTGCTTATGTGATTTACACAAATAGTCACAGAGGAAATAGTCATAAAAAAGATGATTTGTCCCCCAGCATTTGATTAGAGGGAATGCTTGCCTGTTAAGAAGCAGAAGCCTTCAAAAAAGCATCAAGTTTCTTTAGAATATGTTAAACCAGACAATTCCTTGCAACCTGGAACACTTTTTAAAGTCAATACCAGTAGGTCAGATAGGTTGCCCTGTCACCTGTATGGGGATGTCCCTGCAGGTTAGATGAAGAAAGGGGAGGGGGGAAACCCTAATGCCAAGTGATTTTCTTCCGAATCTCACTGAACTCATTGATAGAATGTTTCATTTTAAAACACAAACAGCCTTCTGTACCTTGGCCTTCTCAGCTCTAGGAGGTTTGTAGAGGTATCTACAAAACATATGAAAACAAACTTTGAAAAACAATATTCTACAGAAAAGGTCATTCAAGCTCTATACTTTTGCCTTAACTTAGGGCGGAGGAAAACATGCAATGCGTTTTATCTAGATGGGAGAGCAAATGTAGGAACATCAGGGACATCCTTATAGAGCAGTTTAAAAAAAAAAAAAAAAAAGCACACTTCCCCCTGCCCCCCCCTTTTTTTTTTCTACTTTTAGAAATACTAACCAGGTTAACTGTTCTTCTGGACATGCTAATGTGTCATCTTAAGCTAAGTGCTGTTCATGGAGTGACAGGGACACCAGGCAGGAAGTTTCCTTTCTTCCTACCGCGGCGCTGTTGTAGGACTTCTTAGGTCACCGCTCCTTAGAAAGAGCGATCAGCCACCAGCTTGTGCTATTTTTGCCCTTTAAAGTTGAGGTTGAGGAAACAAGACTGTGGAACGGAGAGGATACTGCAGTGCTGTGCACTAACCAGAGCTGAGCTCTATTCACTAGTGAATAGTCTTCAGATGGTGGGATTTTGCATCGTTGCTTGCCACAGCTTGCTTTGAAGCTTATCGGTTTCCTCAGCCATCTGTCATCCCTAATAGAAAAAATAAGTGCACTGCTAGTCGCTGTCCATTCATAGGAGGAGGCATGTAGCCACAGCATGTTAAAGATTATCAGAAAGATAAGTGCTATTTTTAGTGATGGAAAAGTTCAAGCACATTTAATAGTTCCTTCCTTCAAATAATTACATAGTTACCCTCAGCTTGTGCGTGCATGTGAAACTGGGAGACAGGATGTGAAGGTAGGAAGAGATAGCTGGAATCTGGGAGAAGACATAACCAGGGGATACTGGAGCACCTTCAGGCCCACTGCGTGTTGTTAAAAGTGGGAAAAATAGCCAGCATTTAAGTCAGCCAGAGGTATTTCTGTCCCCTGCCATATGCTTTTGTATTTTTCTCATGTTGTGTCCCAGCAGGGCCAATCTCCCCAAAAGTTATGGGCTGAGTTGAGGCACGTGGTCCAGGGTTGGGTTTCTGTGCCACGCCTGCCGCTCGCTTTGTCCTCGCTGAGGATGGGTCAAACCCCATGTGTCTTATGCAGCAGGCACTGCTGGTGGCTTGGCGGCACCGCCTGTGTGAGGACGGAGAGCACGAGCTGGCTGTTAGGTGACTTTTAATGTAACCTGTAGTGATCCTCACCCAGAAGGGAGGGTTTAGATGAATGGATTTGCTCAAAAAGACAATTTCATTTTTCCTCTTTCATCTCTGGCCATGGAAAGCTCCCTTGTACGACTCCACTTTAAGTTGGACATGGCTTCATTTACAAAAACTTTTACCTGCTATCGAAGAAGGTAGAAGGAAAAAATAACTTTTCCCATGTGTTAGGGGACCTCTCGCCCTAAGGTTGTTTCTGGTCTGTTTTTTCCCTTAGCTGATCATCGTCTGTTCTTGACATTAGCTGGAGAGTGCTGCGTAAGGCAGACGGTTGTCGTTACCTCCCAGTTAATGTTGCTGTATATCCAGTTACATCTGTGTAATTTACAGCCCTGGGAGTATTTCAGAGTTCCTCGTTTCCCTACAGCGTTTACTGCGTGGTGCAGGAGGCCGCTAGCTGGCGTGCACGCTTGTCCCTGGCTGGCTGCGTGGAGGAGGCTGTGGCGGTGTCAAGAGGAGTCACCTTTGCGTGTTGTGCTCTAGGGTTCTTCGAGCATCCTGGCTTTGCAGTTCGGCTGTTGTGGTGCAATATGTGAACCTTGCTATCGCAGCTGTCTCCTGCCCCATGTGTTCTGCCACATCCTGTCTCTGAGGTTCTTGTTAGATCAAATGATGATGTTGTGTGATACAGAAACTATTGACTTGTGAACGTAGACCAGAATTTGAATTCTGGTCTTCGGAATAGAAAGACCAAAGTGTTGGCCCAGGGCCTGGCCTGCTTTTTGGGCAATAGTCAGTATTAGGCCTTTTGCAGAGGGGGCAGAATTGCTCCAGTAGAGGTTTTGTGGCTGTGCAGTAGGGGAAAGCACGAGGAGAAGAGTGCCAAGGGCCTGCAGGGGCAGCTGAAGGACGTGCCCTTCCACGGGGGGATTTGTAAGGCTGGCAGGCTTTTTCTGCTCTAGTCAGAACCAGAGCAATGTTGGGTACTTCTGAATATCACATACACGATAGTGTATCATGGCAGGGTATGCTTAGTCTAATTTTATAAAACTCCTGGAGAGCGTGTAGGTTTTTTTGTTTGGTTGTTTTTTTCCTGATTTTGTTTTCTTGTGCTCTCTTTTGAGACAAAACATCTCTGAGGAGTGGTTATTTGTTGGGTCTGTAAAGCTCCCTTTCTCCTCCTAGTATCTACCACAGATGCGCCCCCTCAGGGTGGGAATGGAGGGCAGAGCTGGCCGGAGGGTTGAGGTCGGCAGGTCTCTGCTGGGGCAGGGGCAGGAGGGAGCAGGCAAATCCGGCATACAAACTCTTGAAAGGAATATTAAGATCTTCACTAAATATTACTTTCTTTTTTTCTTTTTTTAAATCATAGCAAGATTTTTTGTCACTGTAGCATCAGTAATACTAGTTTTATGCAAACCTTGACCTTTGAGCTGAACATAACCTTGAAGTGAACACTTACTGGGAAAAGCTTGCCTGCCACTGCTGTTTACACTGCTGTTTACGTCCCTGTACAGAGTTGTGAGATTTTTCTTCCTGCACTTGTTTTTGACATGTAAATGTAATTAATATAGGCTAATAGAGCTGAATCGCATGAAGTTTTACAGGTGCTTAGTTGCATCTCTGTTGCTTCCAAATGCTTTTTTTTTTTTTTTCCCCCACCCCAGGTACTCAAGTGCTCTCTGGCATGGCCCGGCAAGCACATTCAGTGAGTCTAGTGTTTAATGTTATGAAAAATCAGTGAGGTTGTGTGTTAATGAGCATCGCGCTTGGAGATAAATGGCTTATGGAACTGAGTTTGTAGCAACTTGAAAAGGTTGAATAACTAGTATCACCTTGTAAAAGTATTTCTTCTTAACACTAAATACATACAGGTTGCTATTATTGGCATGTAAATCAGTTTCTGCATCTGGGTGTTCCATGGTACATCATCAACAGAAAATGCGTTTCTAAATCATTAAAGGATTCAGTCACTGATAAGAGCACGTGATTAGCTGCTATTCTGGCTAATATGAAAGTAGAGTTAAAAAATAGCAGACATTCTGTTTTTAGCTACAGTAAAAATGAATTATTTCCTTTTGCAGAACCCAGTGAGTTAGCATTATTGGTGCCTTCATTCAAAGCAGATTCTGAGCATATAGACTATATGGATCTTATTTGATTTATGTTATGTGCAGTCAGTGAGCTTGCAATACCCACCAACGTTGGGCTTTTCTAGCTGAGTGTGAAGTTTTAAGTCAAATTGTTATGGGATTTTTATATTTTGTGAAGATTGTGACCCGGTAACTTTTTTTTTTGTATGATAAAAATTGTGTTACATCATCTTCATTTGTGGTAAAGTGACATAGTATGGCAATGAGATAAGTGTCTTGGGAAAAAAGCATCCAATGATCTCTATGGGCAGTAACTTGTTTGTTTTATAGTTTCTTTAAAGTAATATTTCTTCCAGAAAAAATGTAATATATAGCAGTATACCTATTTCAAGGTTGCTGCATCAAAATATATTTTAAATGGGATGAAGTTGTTTTGTTAATAGCAGCCAGTGTAAAATACGTGTATTAGATATGAGGGCATATGTAATCCTTGATCTTTGTATAAAACGCCTTCTCAGCGTCAGTGGAAAGTTTTACAATGTGAGGGCCTGATGGCTTTGATCCAGAACTTGCTGGAGTCAGTGGTATCTTTCCATTGACTTTGGTCTTTGAATTGGGCACTATAAGTCTTTGAGTTCTGAAATTTCAGATATTTTCTCACATGTCCTTTTTTTTTTTTCCTCCTTTTAGGAAAACCTTCCTCCTTTTTATCGCAATATGTATAGCTGTGGGTGTTGCACAAGTACCCGAACAAGGTGAGAATGCTTTCTTATATCAGAACATTTAGATAATCTGTTTCTAGATGAAAAGAGTATATGGCTGTTGTTATTAGTGACCTTAGGTTCAGTTCCTTAATTGTAACTAATCAAAATTCAGAGAAAGCACAATGACAGCATAAGTTTAAAGTAACCAGTTTGGAAAAGATGACCTTTTGAGAATTACTCAGATTTTCTGTCCATGAAATTGCTTACATATTTAAGCAAACTCTTCATAAAAGAGAAGTCTTGTACAGTGAAAAGGCTTTGATTGTGTCTTCACTGCAAGTGGGTGTTGTTGGGGGTGGCAAGCTATGACTAAGTTACCTTTGCTCTTCTTAGGGCTTTGCGAGCAAACCACTGTGTATAATAAAGGCTTAGTCTAAGCTGGCATCATTAATGCCAAAAGTGGAAATTGTACATTCATTTGGTTTTGCATTCAGATGCGGATGTTAGTGAGGAAACAGGGTTGTGTCTTGATTTTTGTCTGCCAGCTATGACGACTCTGCCAGATGTGCTATTCACATTAGAGACAGTTGTGGAATATTACCATCACAAATTGATGGAGGTTGACATGTCATGTAGTTATTTTTATCTGCCAGGACAGTGGCAGCATCAATTTTCTACCATGTCCCTTCACCGTACAGGTGAAGCAAGAAGTAGCTCATCCTTGGCTGGTAAGTGTGCTAACCGCAACTTCTCAAATGGATACAAACAGCTGGATTGCATGGCTAAGACAGGACTCCTTCCTGATCCCATTTTGCTAGAGCCCTTTTGGGATTACTCAGCAGCCTGAGATCATTAATCTCACCAGTGTTTTTCCCTTCTTGTTCCTTGTGCTTGGCTAAGGTTGTCTTCTCCTCCCCCCGGGTGGATTTTTCCCCTTTCCCCTTCTAGTTTGCCCTTCCCTTAGTCGTTCACTGTTTGCCTGGCAAGATTGTTTGCTGATTTTTCACATTCAGCTAGATGGGGGGCATATGCTTTTGTGATGGTGAGAGTTTCCTGCTATTTCTAACAGCTGAGCCAAGTTCTGCATCAGAGGAGGGGGGGAAAAAAAAAAACTATTGGCTTGCCTGACCAGGGCAGCACCCACAGATGTGCGTAGCCTGCCCTGCTGGGGCCTGGAGAGGAGCAGGGACAGAGACTGAGTCATGTAAGGAGGCGTTTTGCACTTTCCCAGTGTAGTGGCAGCCAGCAACGGAGGCCAGAGAGACAGGTTTGCTATTATGAAGCAATACATGCAAGTTTTCATCTCTTTCGCAGATTTTTTTCTGATGGGGCGGAGGTGTGGTAGGAGGTCTGCTGTGATGAGATCTCTTCATAGATAGGTTTGGGAAGCATGAGGGGTTTTGCAGTAATTAGTATTAATAAGTAGTAATTGCTTAATCCCAAATACTCCTTATTACTGTAAGGCATATCTGGATGCTGCTGTTTATGGTGATGGCTGCTGCAGTTAGGCTGATAGTTGGTCATTCCTGAAACCAGTGTCAAGATTGTGGAGAGTTTATGGAGAAGTCTGCCCTGGTGAAAGAAATGTGCAGTCACTGCACAGCCAGGTGACTTTGTGTCGTGCTCGCGAGCCCAGAGGAAAAGCAGTATGAGATGTACAAAGCAGGATGCTGTCCCTGCATTTCACAGCTGCAGAGGTGAGTGCAGTTTGAAGCTTATTGGCCCCTCAGTTGAAGTGCTCGGTTCTCGTTACAACGTGTGTCCAGCAGAAGAGTGCATTCCTGTATAGAGCTTTGCAGAAATAGGGTAAAGCCTCCAAAAACACAGGGTAAAGGACACACTGCCCTTCTGTTGCAGTGTGTTCATGAATGCATAGCCTTCTCTTAACTCTGAAGCCCAGTCTAGTCTTGGCTTAAGTAACAGACCCACCATGTTTAATTTGTTTTTTGTGTCGTTTCCCCCCCCCCCCCCCCGCCCCCTCCCCCGCCCGGACTTACTCAATGGCAATCCCAAACGGCCATATGAGAAACCTTACTGAGTGGAAATGTGCTGCCATGCATGGATCCCATGCACTATTTAGGCTGTTTTTAAGTGCTTGATTGTGATCAAAAGGATGCACTGAGCCTTGAAACAACTTTCTGCTCCCGAGGTGAATTTCATCCCTCATGCAGTTTTATTTACTGAGTATAAACAGGGTTGCAAAAGGTAGCTCTGAGAACAGCAGACCACGGAAGCCTCCTACCTAAGCGATTTGTGTCTTGTGATTCAATTCTTTGTATCTGACACTGCACTCTTATGTCAATTCAGGTGTAAAATGGCTAAGGAGCCTGGAAGTAGTAGAACTGTACCACATGCAGATAGCACAATTCATTTGCTTGGGAAATCTGTCCAAAAACCAATGTGGTTTACTTGTAAAGCTTTCTGCTTTAGAGGATCCAAAAATGGTGGCTCACAAAAAAGCGTTTGAACAAATACACCTGCCAAAATTCAGTCAAAAATCTCTACTTAAGGAATCTTTTAAATGAACTGTAGATCTCAAAATCGTTGAGGAAGCAAATATAAGTGAATTAAGCAGATTTCTCAAAAATAAAAGGTAATTCAGAAAAAGTAGCTCTTAAAAAAAAAAAAAATCAAAACAACTCAAGTCTGTCCTTCGGCCTAAGTACCTAACAGATCCAGCAGTAGCAGTACTCTGTTCACATTGCTTGGAGTTTGTCCAGGAACAGGATACCGCCCACTAGGAATATGTTGACACTTAAGCTGTTTTTAAAGCTTTCTTGGCACCTGAATTTTGGGAAAAAAAAAGAGTATCCTGCCAAATACAAAGATGCTAGATATCGTAATTAATATTCTTTCCCTCCTGAATGCAGGAGACAACTTGTGCATGTTTTAGCTGAGAAGCTATGCCTTATTCGTTTTGGTAGGGTGCTGTTCATAGGCTCTGCCATGCTAGTTGCTCTGCCTGGTGTCCAGGAGAGCATCAGTTGCCACCGCGTTTCCCTGAGTAACCAACCCCAGGTGCAGCACAGCTTCACTAATGGACACCTGCCTGCTTAGGTACTGTCAGGTACCCAGAGCTCACTGATGAATGACCCTTGCCATTCCCTTGCCTCTACCAGTATAGGGAAGGTGACTAGTATAGTAGGATAGCCAAAGTGGAGAGAGGACCCCAAATATCAATCCTTCAGAAGTTGTGAGTGCAGGGGAATGTGAAAATGAACAAAGGAAATTTAGCAGAATAGTGATGCAGAATGATTAAATAGCCATTGTATGATATCTTGACAGTGTTATGTAGCAATGTGGTTTCATTCCTTAAAGTGGTGCATATGGTTTCTAGCCTGGTCTAGCAGTATGCCCCTTCCCCTCAGTAAGACTGCATTGCTTCCCAGACAGAGCATTGCTTGTCTGTGTTTGCAGGGCTAAACAGATGTTTCTCCTCCCGTAATTTCCAACTAAAGATGCATTTGTGATAGGGGTAAACATCAATGATCTAGACTGCCTCTCTGTCAGCCCCTGTGCATAAAAAGGGGACTACTACAGATGCTGCTTCCTCACCTACTGACTGAAGAGACTTTTAGTATCTGAGGTGTAAAATAACGCTCTACCACACAAAGTATGAACAAGTTGAAGGCCAATGAGTACTGATACACTTACTGAAAAGCAGATTTCTTCCCTCTATTCCTTTTGGGAATCAACAAGAGGATCAGAAGATTTTACTGAAGCCCATCTTAGCTTTTGCCTCTCCTTGTGGTGGAAGAATTGTCTGAATTTTTGAGAGGCATCCTGGAAGATGGAAAGGGAGCAGTTGACTCCAAACTCCCTTTCTTGCACTCCCCCCCTCCGCCCCCCCCAATATGCTTTCAAGAAAATGAGCCATTGCAAACTGGAGGATTAGCAGGTTGAGTGAACAGTAAGTGAAGGCAGATGTTGTGCAGACAATGATAAACAAAGAAAACTGACTACTGATAGATAAAGCAAATAGTGGTTGTCATGCTGGGGGAAGAGTTAAGAAGGTTGCATGCTCCCAAAATCTTGTGTACTGCCAAGAGCTTCTGAAAGCTTTAAAAAAAAAAATATATAAATATATAGGACCAGAAATGAGATGACTGGCCAAAAATGTTTGGAACAGCCTTTTGGCTTGAAGATGGGTTAGGGGACAACAAGTCAGCAAGGAGTAATTAGATGATACTTAGTCTTCTGCTGTCGTTCTTTGCACGTTTCTTTGTGTTTAGCCTTCTTGAGCCCTGTCACTGTTCTTAGCAATCCATTTGCAGGATGTGGAGAATCTGTTTTGTTTTTCATCATATTCTCATGCTTTTCCTTTTTTCCATAACTTTTAGACAATGTACTATTTTTCAAATCAGAACTGCTTAAACTGGCAGTTTTTCTTATAGGTTGAGATTTAGGAACAATACCCTGAAATATCATTTTAAAATGAACTGTTTTAAGCCAGTTTGAGAGACTGGCTTATACCTTAAGAGACTGTTTATACCTTAAACAGATCATATGTGGACTGTTATTTTTAAATATAAATACCTGTCATATATCTAGGCTTTCAATGTGCCATTTCAGTACAGGCTTAAGTTAGGTTATTAGCTTTCATGGTGCCATTTCATTTATTTTTATTTTCTTCTGTGCAGCCGGCTGGCTCGATCAGCTGGTGCACAGAAGTGCTGGAGCTGTCTCTCAGGGTCCTGGGCTGTTGCCTGTGTCCATCCTCTGCATCCCCCTGGGTGCGGGGGCTCGTTTCTTCTTAGTTCTCGCAAGGGTGACACATGTACAGCTTTGCTTTCCGTAACAGCATGTGGACCAGGCGGGACGAGGGCCCTGGGAAAATGTTCCTGGTCATTAGTGGGTGCGCTATGCTTCAGAGCTGTGCTATAACCTAACCTCTGTTATCAGTTTGACAGATGAAAACGCAGCCTTCGTAAATCAATTGCTCTGAGGCAGAACATCTTGAGAAATTGGCATATGGATGTCTTTGTGCAAAAATGTGCTTTCCCTATGCCTCTGTCTGTGCTGGCTACCCGCCAGGATAATCTTGGCATGTCTGCAAATCTCTAACATGGCTAGAAACACTACAAGGTGTGTAATTAATTTTCAAGATGTACAGTGCATTCAGGTTGATGCTTTTGGTTCCAATTTATAAACCACTCTCAAGGAAATCTCAGGCTCTTTTCATAATTTACTGTAGAAGCTAAGCCAACATCTGTCTATTCTTGCAGTTTGCTATGAATACATTCAATAAACAGAGAAAGGGAGGACTGGGAAAGGAAACCTTTTTTCCACTAAAATAGTGAACATCCATTTGTTTCAGATACTCTCTTCATTTAATTTGGCAGAGAATCTTTAACTTCCATTGGTCACTCCCGGTTCTAGTTATATCATTTAATGGCTTTATTTACTTGCTATAAGCACAAGCTGCATAGCAAAGAGTGCCCTTAGCTAAATACTATGGAAAGGGCTAGTCTTTTCCCAATCGGGGTTATTACAGCAGTGCAACTGGTAAATATACTGCTAGTCCCTTTTAATATATGCAGTTCACTGAAGCTCAACCCCAGCTAGTTATTCCAGTTAGAAGAAAAAAAAAAGCTATATTATGCTTCTGTGCAATACTCTTTATTGACAAAAACTGTACAATGTCCAGTTTGCCTTGCACAGAAGACCAGAAGAATGAAACAGAATTGCAGAGAAGTTTAGGTTAGAGGGGACCTCTGGAGCGCGTCTGCGCCTACTTCCGTGAAGTTCATGAGGTTCCTGCTGGCCCATCAGATTTTGCGCCACTCAACGCCTTTTTCAAGCAAGAGTGATCAAAAGCTCTCTCAGTCTTTTCTCAGGATCAGGTGACCAATGCTTGTCTCTTATTTCCTTGCCTAATTTTTTTCCCCCCTCACTTTCTGCAGTATTTCTGTGGCATCTTTCACAATCACCCAGGCAAGCAGTTTTACCAATCAATGCCTTAAGGGCTCTTTTATTATGCAGGCCTGCAGGAAAGCCTCTGGGGAAGTCCAGCTTAGCTTCTACCCAAGCCTTGGCTGTGCTTCTGCTGTTTCTGCCAAGCTGTAAGGGATACGATGGTGTCTTTACACCCTTCCTGAATGCAGAAGGTCCTTATGCCCCCGACTCCAACCTGGCTAAGTCAGATTCAGGTGATACCAAAAGGAGTCAGTCCTCCTTGACCTCCTTTGGGATGAAAGTGGCTCTAATTTCTTACCCCAGCTCAGGCGGGAGGGAACCTTTCCGAGTTGCCTCGGGACGCTGGCATGCCCTAAGTGCAATATGGGGCAGTGCTACTGCATTTACACTACTGTTAGCGCATAATGCAAGCCATTTGTGCGAAAGTCGCCGTGTTTGGGTTCCATATCATCACTTTTAAACTGTTGAAACAGTTTCAGTTAGTTGGCAGAGTAGATAATTGTGGGCCTACCAATTAGGTGAAGGCATTTAGCTAGGTAAAAATGGCGATATAGTAAGGGCCCAGTCTGGGGAAAGGACTAAAGGGCTAAGCTCGCAGTATATAGTACATCAGCAAAAAACCAGTGCAAACACCACTGCCTGTCTGCGCTGTAGGAAATCTTCTATCCGGGCTCTTGTGTGCCAAAGCCGAAGGACACAAGCTGGGGCAGCTGGTCGCTCTCCCCAGGATGGTGGCTGCTGTCTCCTGCCGGGGCGCACGCGCTCCTGGTCGAGGCGGTGGCGGCCCTGCCGTCTCCCGGCTCGTGCCGCGTCTACCTCGCCTGCGGCCCCTCCTGGGATCCCGCTAGACAAATAATTGCCTTTGAGAGCAGCTCTGCAGCACCTGGCCGGCCGGAGGCGCCTCCCTGAGGCAAGGGCAGCAGCAGCGCCTGGGCGGCGAGGCTTCCCCGGCCTCCCGCCGCCAGCCCCCTGGCAAAGGGGTGGTGTGTGTGCGCCTCTTTTGTCCCTTAAAAGCATTTTTTTTTAAATTGCTTTTGCAGAAGCAAAAGTGAATTAAAATGAAAAAATGTTCATCTGTTCAAAGGGCAGGAAGGATTAGCCAAATAACTAACTAAGGAAGTGAGAAAGTGTGTTTACTGACTGCTGTTAAAAGGTTGAGGACAGCAAGTGGGGATATTTCCATTTCATGTACAAACTAACCCACAATGGCCACTTTGTGGGCCTTTTCTTTTTTCTTTTTTCTTTTTTTAAGATGGAAATTATTGATCAGGAAAGCTGACTTTAATTATTTTTGTGTTTGATTTATGTGAAAGATTGGTGTGCCTCGCTGTAGGGATTAGGTGCCTTCGCTGTGTGCAATGTAAACCTTCTGAGAAGTGCAGATGTGTTAAGGTGCTGTGTGCATATATGTTCCTACGGGTCTTGAGAACAAACTTCTAATTCAGTTGAAATGAATTTTAAAAGTGGAATCAAACAACATGTCTTTATTTCTTTTTACAGCAATAGACATCCTTCACCAGCTAGGCCTTGCAAAAGACATTCGACCGCCCTCGGAGACGGCAGTGCCCTGGACATCATCTCCGCTACCTCAGGGGGTTCGTCTAGCTGTGCCAGGAGTTGTACTGACTAGAGAGGCACATATCGAGTCCCCCGTCACGCAAGTCCTACCATCAAATCTAGGGCAGCAGTTCACTGTGTTGGTTGGGCTGTACTCTTACAGCATAAATAATGCTTTTCTTTTCAGTATTAGAAACAAAAGTAGACTGCAGTTTGGTGTCCAGTTGCTACCAAGAAAAGTAGCGGTGTACACTGGAGGGAAGCAGCCCGTATACTTTGAGTATAGTGTTCATAATGAGCAGTGGCATTTGTTTGCCATTGACGTTAGGGACAAGACCATCTCCATATTTGCTGAATGTGGAAAGAAATACTACAGCAGGGAAGCACTTTCAGAAGTGCAGGCGTTTGATCTGGATGGTTTGTTTACCCTGGGAAGGATGAACTCTCACTCTGTCAGCTTTGAAGGAGTTATATGTCAGCTAGATATTATTCCCTCTGCAGCAGCCTCTGCAAACTATTGTAAATATGTGAAACAGCAGTGTCGCCAAGCAGAAACCTATCGATCTCTGTTAGGAGCTCCACGCGTGTCAGATGGGCTGGATATGTTTTTGAGGAAAAAAATTGATAACAAAAACCAGTCTGAAGGTAGAAGGAAAGAAGCATCAAACACTCCAGTCATGAACCTTGCTCAGATTCACTTTCTACCAGAATACCTGGAGTCAAGAAATGTGTCTGCATTGGAGTTTGTGGAGGCCAAACCTCTGTTGCAGGAAACTCGGCCTGAAACAGAGCTCCAGGAGAGCGTCAGCC